TTCCTCTCCGAAATCAGATCTACCCCTACTTTGTTTGTGTGCTGGCTTTCTAATCGCGGTCGACCATGTTCTGATTTTCGCATATGAGTCCCCATGTTGCCCTGAGGAATTACAGAGTGATAGACTTTGACTAAACTAGTTAAGCTTGCCCATTTATGAGGCGAAATTTCCGGTCAGTTGTTCGACTACAAGGTAGCCATGTAAATGAGTTTCATTGATGCAATTTTGTCCGAAGCTGTTCGTTTCTGTGCTTCGATGCCGTTGCTTGGAACATAGAGGCACCTTGGTTGCGTTGATGCTACTAGCTTTTATATTGCCTGAGCCAGCGCAGCAGTGGTATTGTACACCATGAAGCGTAGGTGCTCAAATGTCATGGAACCCTGGCTTGCTTGAAATGTCTCTTCTCCAAGCGTTTGATCAAAGGAGGTCGTACGATTGCGTTGTTTAATCATTGATTATTGCAGTAGCGGTTTAAATCAACTCCATGCAAATTAAACCTAATATTACACTCTTGACGTCAGGTACTCAAATATTAATTGGCCTCGTAAAAGCGCTGCTTCGATGCAGTTTTGTTCTAGGCTGCTGACGGTACCATCGGCAGGTGATACGGCTTGGAACGTACTCCATTAAGAGTGACGTCACTTCCGTGCCGCCCTTTTCCAGTGGTGTCCCATCGCCCTATATTCTCAGTGGGTTTCAATCGGTTCTGTATGATGATAACGCTGATGCTGATGACTGTGACTCTTAAAGTATGGATTTGCCCGTTATGTAAGCTCTAGAGCTGCCTCTATATTCAATCGTCGACATATTTTGCATATCCTGATATGAAGATGAACTTGGGCGATGCATTGGCTCTGATATTTTGCTGGCTTTGCTCCAGCCGTAGTGACAAGCTAGAAGCGACCCAGGAGCCGCTTCCCCCTGTTGGTCGAGGTTGTTTTTCACTTGCTAGTGGTGCGGTTCGTGCCGAAAACCTCACCAAGTGTTCCACTTTTACGAATTCGCTGTGCTGAGTGAATGTTTGGGAAACATTGGCTGTAGCTCAGGACGGTGACACTCCAAATTGACGGTCGAGCAATCGCTCGCCATAAAGCGCTCAAGAAGAGAGATAATTGGAGGAACTTCGCTTGAGTTCGTGGTGTGCCCACAATGAGGACAAGATGAACAAGTATCACAATACAAAAGCCCTAGACGAGCCGGTCCGCCATCAATCTAACACAGTCTGTGGGTTTGCAAGGCCCCGTAAAATGATGAACAACAAAAACAAACGCCATATTAACACCAGGTACGCCTATGAATGCACGGTGAAAAACTATTGTCTACTCTAAAAAATAAATCTTGTCTTTGAGCAGTTATTTTGTGGATAAGAGCAGACGATGCTCCGAATGAAAGCACGTCACTCATCTAGAAACTTCGATTGTAAACAGACCCAGCTTAGGCACATAACTGTAATTATTATTTCACACCTCTTAGGTGTAGCAGCATATGTTTTATGATAACCACAGGTTCTTCTCAAGCCTCTTGACCAGATTTTACACAATTAGCTGCAGGTAGGCAATTTGGCAATAGCAATGACTGTTTCTAACAAACCCTTGTCATGATCACACGGTGAACGGCGAGACAGTCGCTGTTCTGAAAGCTGAGCTTTCGAACCAACGGCGCATAGCGCAGACGATACAGTGTTGCATTAAGTACACTTCAGCCCTAAACGGAGACTTGGTTCCCGGTCCTCCTTCCCAGTTTCAATGAAAGTCCTGCGGTTACGTAGGCTTGCGTTAGAAATATGAAGAGATCTGTGAAGCTCGCAGTGTCAGTCTGGTTGGACAGTACGGCATACATTTCATGGCTAGAGTTTCTGCCCGGGGGACAAGGGTTCGGCGAGATCGAGATTTCGTAACGAAATTCATTTTACGACCTGGATCCCTTCCCACTCATCCTGAAGTGAGCTCGCATTGGGATTTATGAAGAGCAGGACTGCATTTTCCTTGGCAACGAATCCGACGTCGGCCGGTCTTATCGAGGGCAGATTGTGTGAAATACGCCTGGATGGAAAAAGAAGAAAGGTTCACATCTTAGTCACCTGTTTGGCTGACGGCTACGTCGACGCATCACCTGATAACTGGTTGGTGTTTGGGCAGTGTGAGAGATTGCAAATTGCTTTCAGACGAGACCAACACCTCTGATTCTTAGGAAATACACGTGTGGAGTTGCTGTCTCATTGCGCCAATGATATACACTGTAGAAAGGTCTCAGAGCATTCATGACGCTGTAACAGCATCGAATAATCTTGCAGTAAACAGCGCATCTTCCAATTTAAAAAGTTTTTTTTAAGAAACTTCTCTGTTAGTCAAAAATTTCATTCAGGAAATGTTGTCTGTGTAGAGCTAGAAAATGGTGTCAAACAAACATCGAATAACCCTGAATAGGTGTGACCTTTGTAACATTAAATCATACTTTAATTGTGCAGTCTATATAATCGTTCTGCAGCTTCAGGCAATGAGACACAGGTCTGATTTGTAGTCCTAAGTGATGAGGGAGAAGAGTGAATATGTAAATCGAGGCAGAGCTTCGATGAGTAGTTCACAACAGATGAAAAACAACAACTGCTGCGCTTCGCGCCGGATTGTCAATCCTTAGTCTCAGCTTACCAAGCCTGATCGTCTTCTGGTTTCTAATCCTTCTGCCGTGTCATAGTCGTGCGGCTATCTCGTAACATTCGCCAGATATTTGCCTCACTGCTGACGGAGGAATCGCAACTGGTAATCGCAAACTCATTTCACTCGGCAACTGCTTGGCAGCCGTTTCTGAAAGGGTATAAAAACTGCTCTATGGAGATCACATGATTCGACTGGGTGATTGACTAAAATTGAAGACTCATCCTCTGACAGTCAGTTTGACCGTATGCTCTCAGTTTCGTTCCTATTTTGCATGCCACGAGAGATGAGGCAACGAGGTCTCTGTGTCTCAGCCGAGACTCGAACGAACAATAGGGAGCATGCGCTTTAGCGGGAGGTGAAGTTTCAAGTATACTGGATTACAGTTTATAAGGCCAATTTTCATGATCTGCTTAAACGTATTCGTCCATTCAAGTTTACAGCTGGTCATTTTCCGGTTCAGTTCGTAAGAGCCATAACGTTTTGAGGTTTTCTTTCAACACTAAGCGTGACAGTGGCGGTTGCTCAGCATATTCAAGCATTCAGACTCCGGATATGCTGTCTGGCCATATCGCATGTGGATGGGCATGGCGAATCCTTTCAATTGCCGTACCCCGGCGTACTGATCACACGTCTGGAGTGTGTCGCATGTCGCATTTCCGACCTCTTGGTTTGAGGGCCAGTGACACCTACGAGGGAGGGGGAGGGGAATATACAAAGCCGTTATATTTTACAGTTATTCAAAGTCCGTGATTCAATGCTTTTTAAGTCAATCGGTACGCATATTGTTAAAAAGACCGTATAAAGACAAGTGGAGAAACCTCTCCGTAGTTTCTCTGGTTCTCTCAAAGCAAGAATGCTTCACTATCTTCCTTGGGCTCGAATTGATATAGTTGTGTGCTCATCGTCGTCGCTGTCTTCCTCGCTAACCGCTTAATGCTTTCCTCCATCATCATCTCTTCCCTCAGTTTACGACAAGTGAAGTGGGACCTCTCGAGTGCTACGCCAGAACTCTCTTTCGTTTCTCCTTCTTAATTTTCTGACCCAGGTAGCGGATGAGTGTGGCTCATGGACATCCAGCCACGCTCCATTTTACACCCTGCCCTAACTTCTAGGTGGTGCACAAAATTGAGGTACAGTAAAGAACATAAGCAACAATTAGAAGGTTACCGTCATAGTGAACAGTAAAACGCATGTTGCCATGATCATCCGCAGTACAATTTCTCTTCCCTCAGATGTTATATTGTTCGTTTCGGAATGTGCGTTATTTGTTTTGCCAACAATGTTCAGTTCTGGGGCTGGATCGATCGAAGCTTTGCAGCAAACCATCGATTTTCCATTCTTACATTTGTGGCAACTTTATAACTAAATTGAAACATGCATTCCTGATAGTCGCAGCTCTCTTCTACCCATTCACCAAGACATTGTTGTTCTGACCTTTCCAAGAACGAGTGAGTGGATGTTACGACCATTGAGCGATCGGATTACCAGGTGCTGGTGCTTTGAAAGGGCAAATCTCCTTTACTTTTCCCAAAAATTCATGCAGAATAAGAAAAACACCCTCATCACTAACGGTAACGGCACGACCTCCGTACTTAGTCTAAGAGGGACCTCGGCGTTAGACGTGGCTGAATTAACTCACCGTTACGTTTGTATTTGCGGTCTTCTTTACGAGAGGGAAACTGAGGATGAGGAGCGGAGGGGGAGAAAGGAAAAATTGAATATAACTACGAGAAGTCGAAGGGAAGAAAGAAAAAGGAGGAAAAAGAACAACAGAAAGAAAAAGGATTGGCTGGAGAAAATGAAAATAAAGTAGGAGAATGAAAAGTAAACAACAGAAAACACTATAACTTCCAAATTGCGTTTGCGCCCTCTTCCACTAAAAAATGATGATTACGAGCAGCAAAGGCTCAGGCCAGTTTTCCAACCCCCCTCATACGTTTTACATCGGATACTGAAGAAAGCCATGCATCGTTTTGGCATGACTACAAAAATCACTTCACTTGGAATTGGATCATTTGGACCTGCCGGTATTGGGCGACGTATCGCCCCCCCCCCTCGGTCCTCGCAGAACCAAGTTTTTTTTCATTAAATTAAGCGCGCCCTTCGCGGCTCGTGATTTAACATTTCGTCCATCAGACTGGGCGACCTTGCGGTCTAATCCATCCTCGAGTGCAACACTCGCCGACCGTCTCCCGTCGATGAGTCGAGCTACGTGCCCGGTAGACTATAACTTGTTCCTTCTGCTTATGAGGACAACGTCCTCCACTCCCACCGGCTATTCTACCTCCGTGTTGGCGACGTTAAATTCTTCTCTTTCCCTGACATAGCTCGCGTTCTTCAGCTTTAGTTACTGATCCCATCTCATAGCCGTACAGCACTGCCAGTAGGACATAGGATTGAAACAGGGTGCAGAAGAAGATGAGTACCTCTCTTGATGTTGTCTAGGAGGGTGTGTTTAATAAGATGGAACGCATACCATCCAGCTGTGAACTCTAACCTGAGCATGACACATATTGATTTGATGGCCTAGGTAAATGTCATTGTTGAATTCTTCAGTCCTTTCATCGTTCAGTGTTACCTGGATTTTCAACACATTATCCGACCGTGATACCATGATCTTCGACCGAGGGATTATCAGTCTAAATTCTGCTTTTTTTCTCTCGAGCTCTTGCGGCATGTTCTGTAGCTGACCGATGTTTTCCTCAAACAAGACAACTTCGACAGGGAATGGTAGGTATAGAGTTTGGTGGGGATGATATCCCATGTTTCAGAAGCTCTTCTACAGTAATCGGGGGG